ACTTTATATATGATATATATTAATATATATATATCACGAATAAAAATGATTACCAACAGAAACAGGGATACGATTTCCTGCGGCATATCGTTTAATCGACATAGTTATTGCATCTTATAAAATATCGATATGTAATACCAGATATATTTTCCATTTTCTCCGTTTCGCTGAACCGTGCTCACGTGTACAAATTGGTTCATTCGTGTGTTCATTCTGTTCTACGTGTACCGTCTGTTGCTGCGAACCTGACACTCGTGGCACGATAGGGGCGGAGCCAGTCGCTCGATCGGTCCGCCCATCCCCTCTCTGCGGCTCCGAGGCATCCAATCGCGAGTTCCTCGACGCCTCCGCGCCGCGCCTCAGCGAATCGGATAGCGAACTGTGCGGGTGAGGCGTGCGCTTTTGGATCTGACCAATCGGACGAGAGTGCCAAGTTAACTGCAACGGACGGTACTCGGTCCCTTCTCGCGAAGAAGAAACAGTCGGTTCTAAGCTCGCAACCTCAGCTATCGAGTTCAAAGAACGCTCTCCCTTTTTCTTCTTCCCCTTCCTCGTCCTCTTCTCTGTCTGCCCTTTGTCGTTTTCGTTACGAACACTCGGAGAATGTTAGTCGACTCTCGAAACACGATAACCCTTTGCACTCGAGAGATGACCCTCGCCACTTAATTTATAAGGAAACTTTACGTATGACAGATTTCGCGTGATGCATCGATATTGCAAAATATCGAAGGAAAATAGCTTTCTCGTTAATTTATGCTTGTGTTTCTCGTTACTTAGTTTCAAAGAATGTCATCTGTATCTCATGTGAGAACGTTGAACACGTCTAGTGGGAAACTTTCGACTGCAATGGGTTAACAACGCTCAGAAGCTAATGCGGTTCAGTCGATTCCTCGATAGCTTCCCGATTCCTGTCGATTCCAATGGAATAAATAATACTATTTTCAGTTACTAAAGATTTCTCTCCGGACTTCGCCGCATTGGCTTCCGAGCGATTCAATTATACAATACAAACGTTACTCTCAGAGCACAAGAAAAAGAAGAAACCGGAAACACAGCAAGGGAAAACTATGCATCTTACGATTGCTTTGTCTCTTTTATTCCTTTCTCGTTCAACGTTCGATGCGTCGTGTTAATCGTTAGTTCTATTAGCGTACGGTAAAAACGAATCAAAGTATTGACACGTAACGTCTTATTGTTAAGCATTCATGTTATACACACACACACACACACGCGCGCGCGCGCGCGCGCGCACCGCACACGCATATATATATATATATATATATAATTATATTATAATTATATTATATATATATATATAATATAATGTAATCGTTATTATATATATGAACAGTTTATTTTGAAAGTAACTCAAGTCCAGTTAAAAAAGATTCAACTATTAACCCTTTGCACTCGAGAAGTGACCCTCAGTCACTTGATTTGATTTGCAAAATTATAAGCTTTGTATAATGCATCAATATATAGAATATTCAAATAAAATAACTTTCCTTCTTAATTTACATATGTTTTCTTAATAATTAGTTTTAAAAAACATCTGTATTTTATAGGAGAATGTTGAATATTTCTAGTGAACTTTCGAGTGCAAAGGGTTAAAGTACAAAAAGATTATGCAGAATTATACCTATCGTAAGGATGAACTCGATTTCCTTGAAAAATGACTTAAGCCACCTTCGAAATAAACGGCTCGTATTATTTATATATATATATATATATATATATATATATATATATATATATATATATATCCAATGTTATTAGCAGTTTACAGCAGCTTTGATTTACTCGCGAATGTACACGTTACATTCGACAGACGATATAACGAACGTTTGAGAATGTTAGATCGGTTAGAGCCCGGATCGTCCTTCCGGTACACGTCGACGGCGAGAAACAGCACAATTCGAAATTTCACCTCGCCGCCGGTTCGTCGAGAGCTTTTCTATACGTTAATTCGCGGGATTAATTGCACGACATCGATTAATTTCTACGCTTGCGTTAAACTTTCTTCTACCTTGTTACAAAGATTCGCGGCGAGCACTAGAATCTCTCCGCTCCTCTCTCGCTGTATGTAATTACGAGCGAATCTCGGCCACGAGAACGTTTACCAGGTGTGCACAGGGTCCTTTTTTTCCTCCTCCTCCTCCTCCTCCTCGAGTCCCGACGACCCCTCGTTTCATTCTCGACATGCTGGAATAATTACATTCAATCCGTCCTTTGCGTAACAGGTGGAAATTCCGCATCATCTTTCAAACGAAACGGACCGGAATATCTTGACGGACTCTCGGTCGCTACAATCATCTCGTGATACTTCTCTGAATCTATAAATCCATTTTTATGTGCGTCAAGTACAGTCATATAGCAAATTGGCGATTAGTTTTCTTAAGTTTAAAGAGAACCGTGTTCTTCCGTTTTGCCTTTAGTTTTGCAAGCGGAGGCACGTTCACCGAGAAATGCATAGAACTTTGCCGCTCGGGATTCGTCGTTTTGCTAATCGAATTCACCGTTTCGCGAATCGAATGTTTCTAATATTATATTCCATCTGAAGGGCAAAATGTTAACCCTTTGCACTCGAAGGGTGACTCTCAGTGATACTGTAAAATTTAATATTTAATATCACACCTTGTATAACTCATGAATTTAAAAGATATTCAAATAAAATAGCTATATTAGTTTCACAAAATATCGTGTTTTCTCATCGGAAAATGCTGAAATATTTCTAACGAAATACTTCCGAGTGCAAAGGGTTAATAATGCAATCTGAATGAACGCGCTCACCGAGGCGAGACTGATGATGAACAACGCGTGAACACTGCGGATTCGTTTCTTGCCGATAAAGGCAACTTGTAAATAAGCAGACAGTTTTTGTTCTTTCGAATATTCTCTGTTTCAGTCTTTGCTCGATTGTCCGATATTCGTTGTATACCGTGCAATTATGTGATCATCATTATTGTACTCTGCATATTTACATCATCTCTTAATACATCCAAGTATGAATATAAAATGTGATTGACTCGAATCAAATTCGAGAGATTTGTTTCTTTCGAATATTCTGCACCGTGGCTCTATCAATGCGGCGCACGGTTAGAGAACAAGACGAATGAACGAAGCAACAATTGAATAATGAATGCTTTTCTAGTTACTCTGATACAAGGTGGCCCAAGATGAATCCTCGTTCTATTTCTATTTCACTGTTTCCACCGAATCTGTCCAAACAGACCTTTCAGAAATTTTAGCTTAAAATTTTCTCCGTTCAATCGTTTTCCCTCGATTGAATTTCCTGCATTTCCCATGGTCGATTTTACAATTGTCATCGGAAACGTCGAAAAGTCAATTCGTACACGACTGAACTCGGAGACTAATTTTAAGTTGAAAACTCGAGAGCTGTCTCGACACCTTCGATGGGAACAGCGTGAACGTTGAGAACGGTCGGCACTGTTTTAATTTTGATCATCTCGAGTCCACGACTCGATCAATCTTTCCTTTTCCCGATATCGCTTCGAGCCTGAGGCAATTCGACCGACGAATGTTCTACAGTGCATCATGTGTTTCTCTTTTTATGTAACATTAATGTAAATCGAACAGAAGAAAAGTATAATCTCAATGAAGGAGAGTGAGAGAGAGAGAGAGAGATAGAGAGAGAGAAAAGAATCATACTTTGAGATTGAAACGAGGGAGGGGAGAAAATGATGTATGTGGTATGCGTGAAAGCTGAATGATCTTCGGTTTCGTCATGTTAAGAATCTTATGTTCAGTGCTCACATGCATGTGTGCGTACGTCAAGCATTTCCTCGAGAGTCGCTGAATGTTACCGTGTCTACGTTACATATCTGTTCTCATTTCCTTTTCTATATTGTACACGATACACGCACGTGCGTCGAAACGAACGCTAATTAATCGGATCAAGAGAAAAAGAAAGAGAGAAAAAAAAAGAAAAATAAAGACTTGAATGAGAGGCTATGAATGGAGCGTATATGCGAGAAAATAAACAAGAGACAGAAAAGAAGATATACCAGTACCTGACTTGGAGTCTGACGAACGTCCGCGTAACACATCCGCGTAGCTATTTATGCAGGCTTCGATGGACGATAAAAAGAAAAAAAATTACAACAAATTACCTTAAAATAACATTAAAAGAGAAGCAAATGATATATATCATACAGCCTAAGTAAGTAAGTAAGTAGTTTAAGCCTAAATGTTACACAGTACACCTTGTTTTATTAATTGACATTCATCTGCGAGACATGTTACCTTGCGTTTCATGAAACAGAGGCATGTTCGTTCAATAAAACAGGCTTCCACGTCCTTCTTTTCCACTGATACGTTCAAAATTGTTACTCTTACAGTTCCATACACACACCCACGCACACGTATCACGTACACGTACACGCGCGCATACATGTATCGTTCGTTGCAGCGAACCTGGCACTCGCGACGTCGTAGGGGCGGAGACAGTCGCTCGGTAGGCCCGCCCATCCCCTCTCCGCGACACCAAGACATCCAATTGCGAGTCCAGAGGAGGATCCACGAGTGACGCGCGTCACCGCCTCGGCGAATCAGACGCCGAGCCGTGCGGGCGAGGCGTGCACCTTCAAGTCTGACCAATCGGACGGGAGTGCCAGGTTAGCTGGAACGGACGGTACGTGTCCTAATGATGTTTAGACATTCAAGAAAAATTCCTCGTTAATCTCAATTGTAAAGTCTAGAGACTGTGAAAGCTCGAGTGGAGATATCTTCGATTTTCAACGTGTTAAAGATATTATTGCTTCTTGGTGCTCACATGCATGTGTGCATATGTATTAAGTAGGTCTTTAAAAAAGTTACGTCTCTATCATTTTCTATATATATAGTGTATACTTGTGAAAGCGTGTAAGACCATTGTGTGGAGAAGAAATATGTCACCCAACCTGTGTAAGAATTTCCTGAGTGTAACTACCTGTATTATTTGTTTACTCGAGTGTGTATCGAGAAAGAAAGGAAATATTAATAAGTAAATTAAA